GGAGATGCCAAGGAGCGCGAAGCAGGCGGCCAGCACCCTGCCCAGCCACGTCTGGGGGGTCTTGTCCCCGTAGCCGATGGTGGTCAGCGTGATCTGCGAGGAGGGAGAACACGGGGGCGTTGACGGAGCTCTTCTCCCCTTGTCCAGCCCCCCCTCCAGGCGCATCCCTGCCCCCCTGGGGCAGCGGCCCGCTGAAGCTGAACTTACTGTACCCCACCAGAGGGAGTCGGCGTAGGTGGTGAAGTCGGCATTGGTGTCCTTCTCGGCCAGGTAGACGAGGAAGGAGGCGAAGATGAGGACCAGGAAGCCGATGTACCAGGCTGTGATCAGCTCCTGCCGGGGGGGCAAAAGCCAAGCAGGTCCTGATGGCCCCCTCCAGCACACAAGCACCGGGAGCCCTGCAGAGCATCCCTGTCCCAGCAGGGCTGAGCAACTCGGGTGGGGAGTGGGAGAGTTCAAAGACAAGGAGGAGAATCGTGCTTGCAGGCTGGACGCGAGAGCCCCACGCCCCGATCTGTCTGCTCAGGACAGGGGAGGGGTGAGTGGGGTGGGGGTTGCAAAGCAGAGGGGTGACGGGTCAATGCTGTGTGCAGGGATCCCAAGCATTGGGACAGGGCTGGGGGCAGGCCAGGAGGGAGTGACATGGGCAAGAAGGGAGCGGCACCCTGCACTGCGCCAGCTCTGCCCTGTCCGGGATCCAGCCCTTCAGCCCAGCTCAGCCTGGGACACCCCCCGCGTCTCCTGCCCTGCGAACTCACCTTACTGTGGGCATAGACCACGGAGCCCAGGAGCTTCCAGGTGCCGCCACGGCGGTCCATACGCACCATGCGCAGGATCTGCAGGAACCGCATGCTGCGCAGCGCCGACGTGGCGAAGATGTTGCCCTGAGTGCCGGCGGCGATGACGGCCAGCGAGGCAATGAAGACGATGAAGTCTGTAGCCCGGAGCACAGGGTGGTGAGGACAGGGGAGGAAGGCATGGCTGGTAGTTCTGGGAATGAAGTCTCTTTCCCTTGGGACCTGGTCCCCAGTATACACGCCCCCGGCGGGGGACACAGGCCCAGCCCACCCTTTCTGCTCAGGGGGTTTCTTTGTTAAGTGGAGCAGGATGGAGCAGTGGGGATCTCTCTCCGGCTCACAGCTGAGGACCACTCCCAAAAGGCAGCAGGTTGCAACTCAGCTATTCCCAAACACCCTCCATTCCCGCTTCTTCCCAACCTTAAGTGGGGGGGAGGGGAGGGGGGTCCCTGGGTACATCTGGAGCATCGCCACAGCCATCGCAGCTACAGGACAGACACAGCACCATGCTCTTGTTGCTCCATGGCTGGGTGTCAGCAACCACAGCGGTGCCACCGTCTCCAGCAGGGAGCAATCGATGCCTCTCCGTGGTCACTGCTGGAGGGGCTCCATCCACAGCGCTGAGAGCCATGAAGGACACCCTGACCACCCGGACACCCTCCCTGACCATGCTCTGCTTGCAAAGGGGACCTCAGAGGCATCAACCCCCATCTCCACCCTGACGGGATCCGTGTCCCTCCAATGGCATTGACCACCGCCGCAGACGCCAGCAGGGCAAACAAATGTCCACAAAGGCCCCTTCCCAAAGCCACTCCTCGAGCCCAAATCAAAAACCCCAGCCCAGCTCTGGGCCACGTTGTCCCAGGGAGGCCAGTGCCTGGCTCCTGAAGGGCTCCAGAGGAGATGAGCAGAACAACCAGGGAAAAGGCCGCCCCCAGACCTCACCCACCAGCGCAGCCAGGGTGGAAACGCTTGCATTAGAAGGACCTGCCGCAGCCAACCTGGCCCCCCACCGCTGCAAAGCTCCTACCTCTTGGAGGTAATACCCCACCCTGACCTCATTCCCTTTTGTCCTCCCTTGCAAGGTGGCAGGGAGATGAGGGCACGAGGAGACTCTCCATCTGCCCGGCGCTCTGAGTACGCCCATCACTGTGGCATTGAGGCTTCCCACAAGAGACTGGGCCTGGCCGATTGACGCCTGGTGTCTCTGATGACCAGGGGACAGCAGGTGCCCCACAGAGAGGTGCAGAGGGCTGGGAGGAGCTGGCGCCAGCCTCTCCCATGCATACCTATGACACAGAAGGGTTTCCTGGCGAAGCGGAAGCGGCCCTGCCAGCCCCGGTAGCGGCAGCAGCAGCCGGCCGCCCAGATGCGGATGAAGTACTCCATGCCGAACACCACAATCATGACGAACTCCTGGCAGGGGAGAGGAGGAGAAGCAAGTCAAGCGCTTTGCAGGGGGGAGTGAGCAGGGCAGCTGGAAACAGCCCTCGCCACTTGACTTGAGTGTCAAGCGTCAGCCAGGTTCTCGTTTCCGTGCAGCTCCCTGAACGGGGCCCGGGTAACCCCCATCGAGCAGACGCACGTCCGCAGACACAGCAGCCAGAAACAGGAGCCCACAGAGGGCAGGGAGGCTTGGGCACCTGCCTTCTAAATATAAAGTCCCTCCCGTAAATAATTGATCCCTCTTTGCACTGGGCTGGGCTCGTACAGTGGCAGGAGAGACACCTGCAGCCAGCACTCCCAGGGAGGAGGAAGGAGCGCGTGGGTAATCGCGGCCCACCGCTGTGCCGTTTTCAAGGCAATCCTAGCTGGGACACTCCTGGGAGCCTCGCTGGGGCAGGGACAGCTGGGGAGGGGGTGCTTCTCCCCAGGACTCATGTGGACAAGGCAGTGAAGGAGCAGGAACACCCTTTCTCTCTCCAGAGCAAGAGAGGATGTGACACCCACTAAAAGGTCCATGGATGAGAACTGAGGCATTCTCTGAAATGGGCACTGCTGTGCAGAAGGGGCACTTATATCTTGTCTATACACACACACAGACACTAGGCGAACACACACATGCACATGCACACTAGGTGAACTAGCTTAACTGAAGGCATGGTGTTCATCCAGATGTACCATCCAAACCTGCCAGAAACGTGAGCTTTGATCTCCTGTCACAAACACAGTCCCATCCACGCTCTCACTTTAAACAGAGCAGAGACCTTCCAGGTCCAGGTCTCTCTGCCTGCCATGCATGCATCTATTTGGACAATCCAAGGTGACTAAACCTAAGGACTGCGCTCCACATCGAAGTATCCAGATGCCAGAATCTGCCTGGTTTGAGGCTTGCACATTACCGAGAAGGGGCTGCAAAATGCCCATGCTGCCATTGCCTGTAGGAAGCACATAGTCCCAGCAGCGGTGGGTGGGAGAAGGCAGCAGGCAAGCGGGCTCCTGCACCATCTCACCTGGCTCAGAGCAGGGCTGGATGACACGGGGTAAAAACACCAGCACCCTGTTTATCAGAGCAGTGCTATCATTGCTACCATCCATGCAGCAGAGACGGGAAAGCACGTGCCAATGTAGGCAAGAGCAGGCGCAGTTGTTTCACACATGCCTTTCCAACCAGGCAGCTGCCTCTCCTGCTAAAGGCTCTCGTGGGCTTTGGTGGCCCAGATCTCCACGTGCCTGGAGATCCAATGACAAACTACTAAGAAAACTTCCCAACGCTTTCTCCTTCAATGGGACAAAAAGATGAGCTGGGATCCCTGAACCAGGAGCCTTGTCTAAACGGTCCCCATCCCCTCCCACCCGAGCCAGCTTTAAATATCTATGGGTAATTTTCCTCCACCGTCAGCATTGTACCACTTCTCCTCCTACCTTTCACACACAAGCCCCC